AAGTGCCTTACTAGTAGTAACAAGAAGCTAGTAGAAACAATAAGCTACTAGCTACTTGCTCCTAGTAACAAGTGCATCGCTAGTAGTAACAAGTGCCTTACTAGTAACAAGAAGCTAGTAGAAACAATAAGCTAATAGCTACCTGCTCCTAGTAACAAGTGCATCGCTAGTAGTAACAAGTGCCTTTCTAGTAGTAACAAGAAGCTAGTAGAAACAATAAGCTAGTAGCTATTTGCTCCTAGTAACAAATGCATCGCTAGTAGTGACAAGTGCCTTACTAGTAGTAACAAGAAGCTAGTAGAAACAATAAGCTAATAGCTACTTGCTCGTAGTAACAGGTGCCTTACTAGTAGTAACAAGTGCCTTGCTAAGTAGTAACAAGAAGCTAGTAGAAACAATAAGCTAATAGCTACTTGCTCCTAGTAACAAGTGCATCGCTAGTAGTAACAAGTGCCTTACTAGTAGTAAGAAGAAGCTAGTAGAAACAATAAGCTACTAGCTACTTGCTCCTAGTAACAAGTGCATCGCTAGTAGTAACAAGTGCCTTACTAGTAGTAACAAGAAGCTAGTAGAAACAATTAGCTACTAGCTACGTGCTCCTAGTAACAAGTGCATCGCTAGTAGTAACAAGTGCCTTACTAGTAGTAGCAAGAAGCTAGTAGAAACAATCAGCTACTAGCTACTTGCTCCTAGTACGGCCAGGAGCCCCAAACGTAGCGTGCTTGCTCCTAGTAGCGATGCCAGGAGCCCCTAGTAGCTTCTTGTTACTGGGCAGAATTCCGACGTCTCTTCTCTTTTTGACCAAGGGTCTTTGCACTTCTTTGTGCCGAAAGAGCTCAGGTTTGCCGCAGGCGTCACTCGTGTCGCCCGGCCCAGTGCATCCACCGCTTCGACCGCGTCCACGGGAAGTGCGGGAAGTGCGAATGCGCACGGCCCAGCCACGTCCACCTCGGCGCTGGCCGGTGTGGCCGCTAAGTTGAAGGAAGTGGAGGGGGATGTGTTGGGAAGTGTGTTGGACATCAGCATTTACCCTAACAGTCGACCCTAAACACGGTGTGGTCTGACCCGAGTTGAACTTCCTATCAGTGGGGCAGAGGTGAACTGGACGTGTAGGGACCATGTAGGCTGTTGAGCAAAACGCCCCAGGCCTGGAAAACATCTGAAGATGGGGTGGTTACAATGTATCAACAGTCTACATTTTAGGGTTTGTGACTTCTGCAGCGCGTTACATTGAATCCCTGAACTGGTAATCCTAGTTAGGCAATCGAGCGCTTGTGGTGGCAGGACAGATAGGTCTTGGCAATGACGGTGTCGCGTAGGCCATTTCAGCGGCCTCGTTCACATGGAGACGTCCACGGGTCATGCGGCGAGCGGAAGAGCAGAAAGGAGTGGTGCAGCAGTTGCTGGGCATGAAAGGTGCTGGCGAAACTGATGATACGCCTTTATGGAAGAGCCTTGGAACTGAGGTTGGAGACCATCGCTAGTATATATATAATTAGGTTGTCTCACATGGGTTTCTTTTTCTTCTATTTGTTTAACTTTGGAACTGAGAAATCCCTCACTCTCAGTCTCGCCATGTCTCACCACTTAGTGTGAGCATTCGATTTGAACCTAAGGATTCGATTGCAGCTTTGCAAGCCAGTGACATGGCCTCCCCTGATTTTTGGTGTCATTGCAGGGGTTTGCGCCAGTGGCAACTTTGATTGGGGACAGGCCAGCCGCGGCCAGTCACAGAAAGCTATTAGAAACAAGTGTATCGCTAGTAGTAACAGGTGCCTTACTAGTAGTAACAAGAAGCTATTAGGAACAAGTGCATCGCTAGTAGTAATCTTTTCCTGGTCGTCGCCCTTTGCATGCCCGCCCGAAATGCTCCGTTCGTAGCGTCGGACTAACGCACCAAAAACGGGTAGGTGACCTCACCAAATGGACCTCCCAGGCGTCTCCGGAAGACTATGCGAAGTTTTTCACCTGCGTGATGCTCTCGGGACCGGTGCTGGTCGGCTACACGCAGACACTGAACGATTGGTACGACAAGGATCTGGATGCCATCAATGAGCCCTACCGGCCGATTCCCTCCGGCCGCATCACAGAGGACCTGTGTGCTTTTAAAGGTCTGTGCTGTTCTTCTTTGGGTGCAAGTTTCTTCAGAGTGAGCCTTTTGGGGCCGTCAGATTGCATGGGCAGCCAGATTCTGAGAACTGCTTTTGGCTCTTTTAGAGGAAGAAGTCTGGCAGCAGATCTATGTCCTTGGCGGCTTAGGCCTCGGCATGGCTTTGGCACTGGACCGGGCCTTATCATTGAAGCTTCAGTAAATTCACAGCTAGTGGCAATGCAGCAAACGCAACATTCAAGAGCTTGCTAAGACCTGCAGGACATTTGGCAGGGCCACTGGCCACCCACAGTCTTTGCAGTTGCAGTCGTGGGTGTCTTCATGGCCTACATTTACTCTGCGCCACCGTCCCTTGGCCTTTTGACATTTGCACACGTACTTGGCTTCTTTGAGAGGGTGCCAAGTGTGCATTGGCGGGGGGGGGCACGCCTTCCCCATTGTGGGACCGAAAGCATCGCGAGGCTCAAGCTCAAGCAGAATTGGATCACTGGTTGCTATGCTTTGGGCTCCAGCTATATCGCTTTGCCGTGGTTGGCTGGTCAGTGCACCTTTGGCCAGGTGGGTCCACCGGCCTGGGGGGGTGCGGGAAGGAGCCCCTAGTAGCGTCCTTGCTCACTTGTGTTATACATTACCTGTAACTGCAACCATCATTGTCCACTGGGCCTGGGTATTTGGGATATATCCAATCCTTTGCCAGGTCACTCCAGAGATCATTGCACTAACACTGTGGTACTCCGTGGCCGCTGTGGGCATTGCGATTGTCAACGACTTCAAAAGTGTTGAAGGAGATGACCTCATTCGCAAACTGCACTCAACTGGCCTGCCATGAGATGCTGCTGAAAATGGATGATCCAAAGCAGAATATATTTGCTTCGATGACGTGTCTGATACCTAGTAACAGACTCCGCCAGTTGGTTCCTGCATCTTGGGATTTCTTGTTTGCAGGTGATGGACATGCCACGTTTCGTCTTGAAGCTGTTCACGTTTTCGCCGTCAACTCCTCGCAGGAGATCGAAAGCTGGGCTTGTCATCAGCGCCTGTGGTCTTCGGGATTGACACCGCCAAGTACATGGCACCCGTGATCAAAGACACGGTGCAGTTAACCATAGTGGCATATTTGCTTTACATCGGAGAGTGGCCCTATGCACTTGGGCTATTTTGTTTGATCCTTCCACAGGTCTATTTCGCGAAGACATTGTTCATCGAGGATCCGATCCAGAATGATGTAAAGTATCAGGGTTCCTCCTTACCGTTCTTCAGCATCGGAACCATTGTGGCCGCATCGGCCATTGGCAACAACCCTTTACACTGAGACGAGGAAAACGACTTCGCCGGCCACGGCACGTGTGCATGTGCCGTGACTGCGCCGGTGGGATGTTCCCTCAGGATCTCGACAAAAAGACACGAGTTTCGTTGGGAATTTCCGGGGGCTTGTTGTCATGTCGCGTATTGGGATGGCCTGTGAACGCTGTTACGCCCTGCGCCACCCACTCCCCCTGTTGCCATGCTACTATCGCCTTGTTTCCAGATCTTGGAAGTTCAGTGTCCCTAAAAATCTAGCAACCAAATGATCAGGGCAGGGGGGCCTCCTTGAAGAAGCGTGTATCCTGCGTCCAGAGACTAGCGTCCAAGCTATATAAGTAGGCTCCTACTGAATTAAGTAAGGATATTGTTTGATATTAGATTGAAGGCCATCGCTATGAGAAACCAAGAAAAGAGAAAAGGAAGAACGGGTTTGCTATATTGTTTGCTTCTAGGAGCAAGGACGCTACTAGGGGCTCCTGGCCTTACTACTAGGAGCAAGAAGCTACTAGGGGCTCCTGGCATCGCTACTAGGAGCAAGGACACTACTAGTTTGCTTATTGTTGCTGGTTTGGAAACGTCCGTGGAGCTTCCACTTCACGATCAACGGGTCTTTTCGAGCGTGAAGTGCGAAGACGGCGCAGTGAATGGGCGGGTCGTCGTCATGTTGGGTTCTTGTGGAAAAAAGGAAAAATATATTTCAAAAAAAGAAACGGCACCACAATCAAACCATATCAACCCCTAGAATTTGCTACATATCTCCAGGCCTGGTGGCTTTTCTTTGGGTTTCATTCACAGTTTGCAAGATGAGAAGAACTGCGTCCCTTGCACGTCGCCCTTGCGACTGCTGAAGATGAGGTCGCGACTGGCCGCGGCTTGCCCACAGAGCGCAGACCCTTTCTTGGTGTGATTGGTGAATCAGGCACGGAAACATTTGACAGGGCAACTGGTTCTTGCAGGCAGGTTCAATCATGTATCTAAATTTCGATGGTTCATGCCACACTTTGGGAACCATGTTGCAGTTGACTTGGATACATGCCTGTCATGATAGTGGACTTGTGGACATGGCTTCGTAGCTAGATGGCCCATGTTGCCGGGTGATCCTGCGTGGTGCTTCACGGCGAAATCTAGCGTCTCCACAGGTGAGTTGATCCCTGGCGGCTTGTACTTGGACTATGCTCGGCTGACGCCGGGGCACGAAGAATTGAAACACACAAAAGGGCTTGGTGTGCGTGACCTCCAAAAAGCTCCGTTCGTAGCATCCTTGCTCCTATTAGTAAGGCCAGGAGCCCCGAACGTAGCTTCTTGTTCCTAACTAAAATGGAAAAAAGGAGTTGCCAAAGCCAACATTGTGCTGAGGTATTACGATGGCGCCAGCCTTTTGTTTCTCATGATCCTGGTGCTGGTAGCTGGTGGAAGCTTGGGTCAGACTTGGTGTTGCTCTAGTGTCATGTGGCATGTGACAAAATATGGATGCATTTTCTCGCTAGCTGGGGCGACATGTACGTTCAAGCCTAGTTTTTGTTGCTTGACATGTGGTTTTAAGCGGCAGGCCTTGCCTGTGAGCTTCCTGTATGTTCAGAGTCCGTGTATCTTCCATGTAATTGACTTTGACCAATCATGAGGCTAGTAACAAGAAGCTACGTTCAGGGCTCCTGGCCATACTAGGAGATCGGACGCTACGTTTGGGGCTCGTTGCCGCAAAGGAACGGAAAACACCGGGCCCCAGCTGGTTGGAATCCTGGTGTCTTTGTGCTTGGCGGTTGCCTCGGATTTGGTGTATCGTTGCCACTACGCACAGACACCATGAAGCCATGGACTGGAAGCGACGGACATGCCATGGATACAACTCTGATGGTTCATACGTTAAAACTTTATGTATTTATGTATGTCATGTCTTTATATCATGTGTGCCTTTTCTGTCATTTCTTATCCTTTCTTATTTGTTCTTTCTTTCCTGCGCATATACGCTTGGAGGCAAGCCCATATGCCTAGATTGACTTCTTCGCTGAGGTGACCGTGTCCTGGCTCCTAGCACCTTTCATCTTCAATCCATACCAGTTTCGGCCGTCTTGCTGGATCAATGACATCAAGGCAGATCAGAAGAAAACTTGCATCAGAGCACACCAGAACCACAGAAACTACGTTGGAGGCTTGGATGAGGTTCTTCCTCGAAGATGGCGGCATGCACTGGAAAAAGCACAGGCCTTAAAAGCCTTAAATCTTAATGTGATATGCCGCCAGTATGGTTGTTCTATTGTTTTTCGATGCCAGTCGAACGATCAAGGTGGTTCACCCTGAACCAGCTGAAGCCACGCCGCGGCTTCCGTGCAACGGTGCTGCAGATCGGCTTCATTATGGAGCTTTGGTTTGTCATTGCCTCAGCATTTGTGGTTCACCGTGGTTCATCTAGAAATCCCATGCTTTCACATTCATAAAAAAAAATCACAACAAATAACAAAGAAGACGATAATATCATCCATGGGTAGTTCAGTGTTTTGCTCGCCAGTGCGACGCTGGGCCCGTGGGCGTAGCTGGAATGTAAGTTACACCCACAGCAAAGCAGGTGTCAAACTTGGGAATTACGGTTCACTGGGGTCGTCGCTTCCAGTTCGATAAGAAGCTACTAGGAACAAGTGCCACGCTAGTAGTAACAGGTGCCTTACTAGTAGTAACAAGAAGCTACTAGGAACAAGTGCCACGCTAATCCTGTCAAGTTTTGTTTGCGCTCTCGTCGCTCTTGGGAGGTCGTGACATGCTTCGCCTCTTTGAATGCACGCACCGCGGTGGTGTGTCAGGTGCCTTTCCACACGTGTTCCTCGACAAACAGCGCTCGAGGTTCGTGACCGCTCCAGGTTTCGGAGATGTGGCGGCTCTACTACTGGAACTTGCTGTCGCCTCCGGTCGGGGCCAATCCATCTTGAGAAAAACGTCTGGGAAAAACTCAGAGATGAACACTGAAAAAGAGACCAAGAGAGAGTATGAAGAGACCAACCATGTCTTTGCAGATCTTTGCACCTGCGGTGTTTTGCATCTTACTTGCTTGTCAGAGGCCCAGTTCGCCCAAAGACTCCGAAACGTCCATTCGAGCGCACGTGAAAGGCACAATGTGACACGTGAGCGCACGTTAGAAACGAACCCGCAATGTGCCCCTCCTATGCATTCTTACCACGAAAGTGGTGCCTTTTTTCCCGCAAGTTGCTGAGGCTGCGGTGCTTTAACCTGCTCCAAGGGTCTAAGCACCTTGGCGTGGAGATCACCCATCCGGGCTCGCACTTCGGGATTTGGACCCCGTCGTTAGGTTCCAGACGTAGCACTCCGAAGCTGGATGACACCTACGCCGTGCGGGAGCCGAGTTTGGACGCTTGTGTTGCTTTCTCCGGAGTGCTGTCCCAAGGCTTTGGGGACTCCCAAAGATGAGGCCGAGCGAAAAAAGACACGGAGACGTGATACAACAACTCAATTATCACGAAAGCTAGCGAAGCTAGCTGGAGTTACTCTTGCGATAGCAAGGTTTCTTTCGACCGGGTGCAAATCCTAACCCCTGATTTTTCAGGTCGAAGACCCCCCCCCCCC